TGTACCGAATACTCCACTATTTAAAGAACTCCATTGGGAGAGGATTGTTGTTTAAGAAAGGCGAGAAACTCAATCTAGAAGTTTATACAGATGCAGATTATGCAGGATCGATAGACGATAGAAAATCCACTTTTGGCTATTGTACTTTCTTAGGTGGGAACTTAGTGACATGGAGAACTAAAAAACAAAATGTAGTTGCAAGATCAAGTTCAGAAGCGGAATTTAGAGCAATGGCATTGGACATCTGCGAATTATTGTGGATAAAAATTATTTTAGAAGATTTGAAGATTCCATGGGAAGGGCCTATGAAACTTTATTGTCATAACAAGTCTGCCATCAGTATTGCACATAATCCAGTTCAACATGACAGAACCAAGCATGTTGAAGTTGATAGACACTTCATAAAAGAGAGGTTAGATAGCGGCCTCATATGTACTCCATTTGTACCAACAAACAATCAAATAGCAAATATTCTTACAAAAGGATTGAACAACAACAACTTTGTGCATTTGATTAACAAGCTGGGAATGGAAAATATTCATTCACCAGCTTGAGGGGGAGTGTTAAATTATAGTTTTCCTATTTTATTTAGGTTAGGGTTTTATTGTTCTAATAGGTAAGTATTTCCTTATCCTAATAGAACTTATTTTTAGTTTCTTCTTTGTGACTGCTATATCTTGTATCAATCATTTGTGGTAATCAAGGAAGAATTATTTTCTTTTCTTATCAATTAACATGTTTTTCTTTCTTAGAGATGCAAGATCTTTTCTTCAAGTTCTTAAATGTTATATTTATCTTTTGGCTCTTGGTGTTCCATTTCATTGTTGAAATACTTTTTGAACTAGAATCACGAACTTTGAATGTTAAAATAGATTATGATGCTTATACTGGTTTTCTTAATATAAATTTCTGCAGGACGAAGTTGTGCCATTTATATCTACTATATTCATACGCAGACTACTACAGCCTGGGGTTTACAATGAAATGGCTCTTCGAGCTACTTTGCTGGAATATAGTAGGCATTGGACAGATTCTAACTTTCGATCTATGACCTCTGATGAACTTAAACAAGAAATTATTTCTCTCATTGAAGAAGAGGTTCTTTCCACTCTCATATGTAGGCTTTCTTTATATTGGTTCTATCTATTAGAGTTATATCTTATGGTCCATGTAACAGCGGCTTTCTCTTGTTATCTTATTTTTCTTTTGTTCCTCGAACAAAAATTTATCTTAGTTTGGTTCTTGATTTAAATGTGTTTTTGAATAATAAATCTAAGATGATTTTGAAGGGAACTCAGGGATGAATGATGATGTTATATTTTGTGTGCTAGGGAGCAACTGCAACTCCAGTTTCAATATACCTTTGGTGGAAAAATTTCTGTACCCACTACATCCATCACTGGTGCACAGAGAATGCACCTTCATTTTTACTTGTTGACAATTCATCGGCTGCTGTGGGGTTAGTCAGAAGGAATTCGGTATCACTTTTTAGATGCTTGGACAATGTTGAGCAACTTTTAGATGGTATTTTAAAGATTTTTGCCATTATTGCAACACAAAAGAATATAATTCATCTTGCTATTTATAGTTTTTCAAGTAGGAGAGCAGTATAGGTTGTTTTTGTATAACCACCCCTTGATGAATACACCTATCCCTCTTATTAATTATTGTGCATTGACATTAACATTATGATTATCTGATAGGTTTTTCTGGGGAACTTGACGAACTTGGAGGCCCTGACATCGATTGGATTGACAATGATTCAGATTCAGAACTGTTGTTAGAGGTCTTACGATGTGTTATTAGTATTAGCCGTAGGTTGGGAAAAACTGCTTTAGCTATTTTTTATGAGTCACTAATGAGCAAACCGATTATCCCTTTTGGAGAAGTTGTTTGTAGAATTTTGAAGATTCTAGAAAATGGATATAGCTCATCCGTTGTAATGATTAAAAGGTCAGATCTTGAAGTCGGCTGCAGTTCGGAAAGGGAACTCACTGATAAGAAAAATCTTCGAAAATTTTCTATTGAAATGATGCTATCTCTTCATGCCTTGTGCAAAAAAGGTGCCACATGGGGCAGGGTTTTAGATGTCATTGAGAGTTTTCTCAAATATTTTGTTCCTCGTAAGATGGCTCACAAGGTAGAGGCTCAAACATCATCAGATGCCAATACATCCATCTTGGTTCAAGCCACCACCCAAATTGCAAAGGTTATGCTTGAGTCAGCATTAGACGTCCTGTTGTTTCTAAATTATATGGTCTCCATCAGTGGGCAGGTCAGTTTCTTTTCATGTACATATTGCAGATTGCTAAAACTTTCAATGTGTAGCACCCTTTTATCAGTATACTGGTAACCTGCTTTTTGTTTCTTTATTCTAAAAATATCTATTTTAATTAATTGTGAGGACCACACAAAATTTCATTATATTATTTTTGTGCTCAATGTATCTTTAATTTTTTTATTTTTTTTTCTGAACAAGAAATCTAGCTTTTACCATGTAATATTGTTATATCCTTTCTGTTATTTGTTTGATACCTTGGGCAGTTTCTATTTCTCCAGTAAACATGTTCGTGTTTCCTTATTATTATTATTTTTTCAGAAGAAACAAACTTTTCACAAGTTACCTATGTAAATAAAGGACAAAACTCCCATTTGGGATATTAAAAACAGCCCCCTCAAGAAACGAAATACAGATGATAGAACATACACACTAATAACATTTTCATAATACTTTTTGCCGACTGAAGCTTTTTTGTAATCCCCTTGGCCTGGTAGGATCTCTTGTCTCCACCTTTTTTACTCTCCTTTTCGATGATTAAAGGCTAGTTTCTTATTTAAAAATTTTTTTTTTCATAAAACTAGTTAGATAAATTATTAAAAGACTTCCTAACTGTGAAGCATTACATTATGAGAATAGTTGCAACTATAAAGATCACACCTACAAGATGCATGAAATTTGGTAGAATCCATCATTTCTAGCCAAGGTTGAAAATTTTAATCTTTGATTTCTGTCAAATCAAATCTCCCAAATAGGAACTTTAATGACATTGATCAACAACAAATTTGCTTTGTTTTTCAGCTCCACATAGTTGAAGAATGTTTTTTATGGAGCTTTTGTTGGATACCCAAGATATACCATAGTTTCTCAGAAGATAGGCCCGGCCCAACAATTCCTGCTGTAAGCGCACTCATAAAAAAGCGTGCTTGGTCTTACACTGCCTTACAGAGGATACAAACACTATTCAAAGCTGATTATAGGAACCTTCTTCTTTTCTGTGATATGTCAACTGTATTTTGTTATGATAATGTGAGTCAATGTAGGAGATCTATGTCATTCTATGCAATAGAGTTACATATTGCATAGACAGGCATAGAAATCCTACACTAATTAAAGTTACAATAAAGGACAAAAGACTAATAATAAACTCCTGCTTCCTGGATTGGTCCTTCAATTGGGAGAGAGGGAGGAGGGAGGAAGGAAAACATGAAGGAGGGAGGAAGAAAGAATGAAGGAGGGAAGGAGGGATGGAGGAAGGATGAGAGGGAAGGGGTATGATTTTACAAAATAAGGGTATTTAAACTTATATCTTAGTTTAAGAAAATTTTGGCAAATATGAAGTCCTTCTCGGGCATTCAGACTAATTTCCGTTCATTCCTCTTCTTTCTTTCCTTTATTTCCTTTTGTGTTGCCACCTCCCCCTGCCTCCTGCTCACAGTCATACTCCCCACTATTATCTTTCCTATTGTTGGCACTCTTCTTCTCTTATATCTTTTATGATGGCTCATTTTTTAATTAAATGTTATGGCACTCATTTCTGAACTTTATCTCTACAGACATTAGCTTGTTAACAATGACGTTAAATTCATTTAAATGTTTAGCAAATACAAACCTTCATGGCCTATTTTATGATTAGGCTAACAAACTCAATATGCTGGAGTCCGGCAGTTTGTCGACATAGTATTCCACCTTGCACTTGACCCTTCATCAATTTATTCAAACCTGAAACACCACCGAAGAAATTAGCAGGACTTGTTGGTTTGGTTTATATATTGGAGGTAGGGATTATAGATTTAGGAGATGAATGTAGTTGTTTCTAGTTACATCTAAACTCCCTTTGTGCAATTATATGTATGGTGGTTAGTACCTCTATGTTCTTTTGAAAAAATTGAAAAATATGAAAAGAGGCCTAGATTTGAGTTTTAGTAGCACCATTTCTTATTCCTGACGGATCATTTAGTATGAGATTCCTCTTGTTGTCAATGGTAAGTTTTCAAGCACGATTCCATTTCCATAGGTCATGTTATCTTTAAGAACATCTTATTATGCTTCTATTACATTGGATATTTGAATGATCCACTTTGTATGCAGATTGACTTACTCCACGATGATACATCAAGAATAAAACTTGAATTAATTCCAATGATTGAAGAAATTATTTGTGAGTGGCACATTATTCATTTCCTTGCCATCACACCATCTGAATCAGCTGCAATTGAGGATTTTAGTTCTCAACTTTCACTTTTACAAATTGGTAGGTGTAAGGTGGTTCTTGCTGGCATTATCAACTTAGTGAATTCTGTAGGATTCTATTTCAGTAGTTTTTGCCTGTCGTAAAAGAATTAGTTTTTGAACTGCATTTATCCATTTTAAAGGAAGTGCTAATAAAACTTTGTAAGCCATTCCTTTTCCTTCATTTTTTCTGTTTCACTGCTTTCACCCAGATATCATTTCTAGGAGAAACTAATTGTACCATCTCATTACATGACATTATCTCTAATCTTCAAGTTATGATTGTACACACACAGGACATAAATAAATAGATATCTTTGACTAGCATTGTGGTTCTGGATGTAAATTTGAAATTTCAATGCTGCTGTTTATTGAAATGATGTTATTTTTCTATTATTTTTTAGATTTTTAATTTGTTCTTCCTGTTACAGATACAAATGGAGGTAAAGAAATATGGAAGGGCAAGCTTGGAAAGTGTGATTTTACATTGGCTTCTTTACTTCTGCTAAAGTTCCATTCTTCAGCTCAAGGCCCCATCTACCTGTCTTCCAAATGTCTTCTTAATCCGCAGGAGATTGTTATTGCAACACAAAATTTTACCAGCTGGATTATTTGGGGGAACAGTAGAGAACCTTCGGCATTTTTAAATACTTCAACTGAGCTTGCACTGATACTGCTAAGACATGGCCAATATGATGCCGTTGAGGTTCACTTTCTGCTCCATACTTCACTGGACCTGTTTTCCCTTTTCTCTCAGTTCTTCAAATTAACTTGTTTTTTTTTATGTTTATTTATTTATTTAATCCATCACATACTTCCTACCACTTTTGACACATTGGATGACTTCTAGCCTCTCTTGTGAAAATGGTCCAGTTTTTTGAACTATGTAACCATTTTTCATGCGGATTTTTTCCCCATAGCACTTCTCATTAAGTAACACTAAAGTATGAAGAGTAACTTCTCAAAAAAATTCTCCTCCAGCGATAAAGTGTGCATATATTGCTCAAACCAAATTACCCAACAAGTTGCAGCACAAGTATAGAGCCAAAGGTCTTAATTTTGGGCTACGAATCCCTGATTGGCAAAGAGATGAAACAGGGAAAGGTTAATTGTGCAATGTTGAACCTAGTCCATACCAAATTCTCGATAAAGACTGGTCCATAAGTTTGTAGCTGCCAGGCAAGAAATAATAAGATGATAAATATCTTTACGAGCTTGCTTAGAAAGAACAAACAAGTTTAGAAAGAGACCATTGTTGGAATCTCTATTGATTCTTTCGACCATGTTGATGTTGCCTAATATACGACAAGCCAAGTGTATGGAAAAACGATGCCTCTAGTCACTTAAATCCAATCGTATAGATGGTTCAACTCGAAAGAGGAAAGTTAGACGGATTACCTTGTTAAATACTATGGCTAGATAGACTACTCACTATACTCGAGGTTGAAATACTGTCGGTGATCAATCAAGCTTGAATGTTCCTCAACAATGCATCCTAAGTTCAATCACACAAACGAATACAATAGGGGGTTTGCACAAAGGGGGTTTGCACAAAGGCAAAAGGTGAAGAGAAACCTCTCAACGTGTTATTTATCTTAAATCTAAAATGTCTTTCAAAGACTAAAAAGGGAGGAAGCTATTTATAGAGTAAGGCTATAAGCCATACAAGGGATCCAAAAAAAACCCTATAATATAAGGGAAAAAAAAGCAAAATATTCTTCCCTAATTTGAAAATATAATGCATGCCTAAATTGCTAAAGAAAATAATTCTCTTAGCAAAATAAAATCAACAGAACATTCCTTAAATTATTCAAGAGTGGGCGGTAGCAAAGGGGCATGGTGCATGTCACAATTGCACTTTATCAAGACTTACAAAGCAATTGTGCGGCACTTGCTTCCGCCCACAAGCAAGTCAACCAACTAGAAATCCGACAGCCGGTGGTACAATGTCTATATGTCGTAACCTCCACCCTCGTTCTTGAGAAAAGAGTTTTGGAAAACGGGGTTAGAGAAAAAGATTTGGAAAACATTTGAAAGCATTTGGGAAAGCTTGTTGTATAGCTTGAATGGAAGAGAATAAATTAGCAGAAAAACAAGAATATAACTATTGGTAGGAAGGTGATTACGTGTACCCTCCTATACTACATTTTGGACCATCTTGAGGCGTGAACATGCAGATTGACCTTTGCTACCAAAAGTACAAGGAAAAGTAAATAACTTGCGAAACTAAATACATGACATAAAAGTATGTGGAAAGCGGCCATAGGCAACAGGCCCTGGACGACATGACCATGACAACGCGTGCGCGAGGGCTGATAGAGCACATGCTTGAGCGCTACGAGGCGTGCAGAC